CATTTACTTTTCCCTAGCTTTACTTTAATTAGCAAACTTTTCAACCAAGACCTATTCGCTAGATAATGATTCAAATGACTGAAGTAGGGGTACACAGACCAGCGTGACTCGATATTTAAACATACTTGCCTTGTATTGAACCCGACTAAGGTTTATACGTGGACCTTAAGCGGGAATAAATTGTGATATTCGGGACAAGTCATCACGCGCCGAGCATGATCTTTGCAGTCAGACTCGAAAGCTGCAGGTAACCAGGGGTCGTGTTAGTGAGCTTGACGCACACCTCCAGAAGATTCAAAGTCAGCCAACGATTACTCCAGAGAGGTTACAAATAGCAAAAGCTTTAGAGGTAGCGTTGCTACAGGAGATGACACAACTTAAGGAAGAGCATGCGGTTGATGCAACGTCATGGAGATTGAGACTTTTAATGCAACACCACTGTTTGACACAAATTTTGTGACTCAATCCTTTCTTGCTGCCATGGATAGGCCAGTTTCAACAGAGCTTTAAAGGTGCATGGAATTCCATGTATGGGAGATGTTTCGGTCACTAGCATTAGAAAAGCTTGACAGTGTTTGGACCCACCACTTCGCGTACTTTGTAGGGTCCTTCCCATGGTGGATTGAATTTTCCTAGGCTTTGTTTATGATAAAAGCTAGTAAGAAGAACCCATTCACCTTCGCGTATCGATTGTATTTCACTTTGGTATTGTAGTAGCGGGCTGCCCATGCTTTCGTGGCTGTAATTATGAGGAGAGTCTCCTCTCGATGTTCTTCAATGAAATGGAGGTCATGAATGAGCTCTTGGTGATTCTCCTCATGGCGAAAAGCTTCAATTTGGTTAGAGGAAATCTATGTTTCTACATGAATTACTGCATCCATGCCAAAGGTAAGGGCAAGGGTAAATCCCCTATTGATGTCTTATAGGTTGTGTGATGGGCCCAAAGAACACGGGGAAGTTCTTCCGCCACTTTCCTTTTGCTTCATTCAATTGGGTCTTCAGTCCCCAAATGATGTTTTTATTGGCAGATTCTACTTGTTTATTAGCTTGGGGATAGGCAACAGAGGCATAACGGAAGAGGATGCCGTATCGTGCACAATATGCTTGAACAATCTCACTCTTAAACTGTGTCCCTTGATCGAGGATGATGGTGTGGGGGAATGCTGATGCAACAAATGATGTTTAACCACAAGAATTTCTCGAATTGTTGAAGTGAGTTTAGTTATGGCTCTAGCTTGTACACATTTGGTAAAGTAGTCGAAGGCGACAATGAGCCATTTTTTCCGTCTCAGGGCCTCAAAAAATGGCCCTAAGAAGTCCATTCCCCATTGAGCAAGTTGCTATTGACTGATATTTCCTTGCATGGGCTCGGGTGGTGCATGTGGTACTTGGGCAACAACTTGGCACTTGATACAAGATTTGACTATTCACGCGTATCTCGGTGCATAGTTGGCCAGTAGTATCCCTGTCTGAGGATGATATTCTCAAAACTTCACAGGCCAACGTGCATCCCGTGTGATCCGCCGTGAGTTTCACGGATGGCAAAGTTGGCTTCTCCTTTGCTAAGGCAACGAAGGTATGGAGAAACAAAACTTTTTTTGTAGAGTGTGGCCTCTATGAGGAGGTAGTGAAGAGCACGTCTTTTAAGTTTCATGTCTTCTTTTGGGTCAATGGGTAGAAGGTCATGTTGAAGATACTCCAAGAGTGGTGTGCACCAATCTTGTAGTGTTGATGTTGAGATGATAGGAGCGCATAACAATGCAGTGCAACACTCAACTATCACATTTCTATCATCAAGGAAGTATCGAGATGGGGCAAGCTTCGAGAGAGCATCCACACAGAGAGTTTCTTCTCGTGGTACATGTTTTATCTCAACATATGTAAACTCAGTCATAATGGCTCGAGAAACATTGTCGTTGGAAATTAGAGCGGGTTCACGAGCTTTGTACGCCCCCAGAAATTGATTGACAACAAGGGCAGAGTCTGAGTGTACCAAGATTCTTTGAATTCCAAATTCTTGCGCCATTGTTAAGCCAACTAGGAGAGCTTCATATTCTGCGGCTTTATTGGTTCTTGGAGTTGTGAAGCGAACAACCAGCTCATAGGAAACATTCATTGGACTGATGAGAAGCACTCTTGCTCCAGAGGCGGCCTTGCTTAAAGCTCCATCCACAAATAGCCTCCAGGTTTATGACTCAGATGGTGTGGTAGCACAAATTTCTTCGGCCACAAAGTCAGTGAGGACCTGTGATTTGATGGTTGTACAAGGGAGGTATGTGATATCATACTCACTTAATTCCCTGGACCAATTGATCATTTGACCCACAATGTCCATGCGCTGGAGTAGCTTTCGGAGTGGCAACTGTGTGAAAACACAGATAGAGTGACTTTGGAAGTATGGACGTAGCTTTCTAGAGGCAACCAAAATAGCCTTTTCTACTGGTGAATACCTAGTCTTTGCATCTAGAGTTTTACAAGTATAATATATAGGATGTTCGGTATTTGTCAGCATCTCAACGAAGAAGTAACGAGCTTACCTTCCTCTACGACATGGCAAAATACATGAAAAGAGTTGCATTATTCACTGGGGCAGAAAGAACTGAAGGTGTCACCAGAAATTCCTTGAGCTTAGTAAAAGCTTTTTCGCACTCAGGTGTCCACTCAAAGTGTTTCCCGGCATCCTTCAAAGTGGTAAAGAATGGGGCAAAATGATCTCTAGCACGAGAGATAAACCGATTGAGTGCGGCAATGTGACCTGTGAGAATATGTACTTCTTTGCCTCTTGTTGGGAAGGAAATTTGAAGGATGGCATCAATTTGTCAAGGGTTGGCCTCAATCCCTCGCCGGGTTACCATAAACCCTAAGAACTTTCCAGATGTCGCGCCAAAAACGCACTTCTTGGGGTTGTGGCGAAGAGCATATACGCAAAAAAAATGTTGAATGTTTCTGGAAGGTCTTCTAGATGCTCATCGATACTGTTACTTTTTACCAAGATATCATCAACGTAGGCTTTTAGGTTTCGACCAAGTTGACGTGAGAAGACACAATAAACCATTCGCTGATAGGTGGTTCCTACATTCTTTAAGTCAAAAGGTATAATCTTGTAGCAGTAATTACCAATCAGGGTCATGAATGCCATTTTTTCTTTCTCTTCCTTATTCATGGGAATCTGGTGATAACCAGAGAACATATCGAGGAAGGAAAGAAGACGATGGCCAGAGGTAGCATCAACCAATCGATCAATTTTGGGAAGATGATATGGGTCCTTTGGGCATTCCTTATTGAGGTCGATGAAGTCTATGTATATCCTCTACTGCCCATTGGATTTTTTCACCATGACAACATTGGCTAGCTAGGTGGGGTAGAGGATTTCTCGGATGAATCCTGCCTAAGCGAGCTTAACTACTTCTTCTGCAATAGCTTGACATTGTTCTCATGCAAAGTTTCTTCTCTTTTGTTGTATAGGACGACACCCTGGGAGAGTCCCCAGGGCATGCTCAACTACTTGATGATCGAGTCTAGGCATATCTTCAGAACCTTGGGGAAGTAGCTCTTTGAAATCACAGACTAAGTTGAGAAGCAGAGGAAGAGCTTCGTTGGGCTAGGCGGTTGAGACACGAATAATAAGGCCATCTTGAACAGTTTGTTCCTCTTCAAGGTCAATGGGCACAGGGTGAGCTACTTCTTCTCGAGTGTCAACAATATTGACATGTCTATCTTTAAGGGAAATCACACAACATTGCCTAGCGATTGCTTGATTTCCTCGGAAACAACCTACATCGGATGGGGTACATAACTTTAATTTGAGTTGAAGTGTAGAAGGGATGGCACGAGCTTGGTGTAGAAATGGTCTTCCAAGAATTCCATTGTATGCAGAGGAACATTTAACCACATGAAAGTTAACCAACGTCTCAGTTGTTTGGTCACCATTGCCGATGCAAACCTGAAAAGGTAGAATTCCAAGTACAAGGACTTGGTTTCCAGAGAAACCCAAAAGAAACACGCTGGAAGGTTGACAACAATCCAAGCGAAGACCTAACGAGCAAAAAGTGGGGTAAAAAAGAAGGTCGGCAGTGTTCCCACCATCAATGAGAACTCCTTTTTACGGTGTAGTGGCCGAGTCTAGGCATATCTTCAGAACCTTGGGGAGTCTAGCCTCAATTACCAGAGGGTCATCATGGGAATATTTGATGTCCTCAAGATCTCGGGAATCGAAAAAGATAAGATTATGATATGAGATATTGGAGGTAGAGCCGACCAAAGTTTGAGGGCATGTCTTATGAAGGTGAAACATTCCTGCCGCAGTCCACCTCCTTCCTGTATGGCTGGTACAACACCTATCACCGGTTCGCTTTCTTGTGGACCTTTTCATTTGCTCGATGATGAAGGTGGCTGGATTGAGACAGGTCTGGATGAACTGTTTAAGTTGTCCATTTTGAATAAGTCACTCGATGGAGTCTCCCAATCTTTTGAATTCCTCGGTGTCATGCCCATATCCCTGATGAAATTCACAAAACTGTTTCTTCCATTTTCTTGGTTTTGTGCGACCTCGAGGAGGCCATGTCACCGAAAGCTTTTTATCTTAAATGGCCTGGAGAACAGTCCTCCGTGGATTGTTGAGCGGGGTAAAATTTTGGCCAAATGAAATGAACCATCCTTTTTGTTGTCATCTTTTTGAGCCTTGGGCATGTTATCGAAGATTGGGCGGGGACGTTGTAAAGTTTCCTTCATGACCCATTCTTGTAGCTCAAACATACTTCGAGGAGGATTTTTTATGAGGGAAGCCCGGAAAAGACTATTTGTTGTTCCTCGTGTCAGCGTGTTGACAATTACTTCAACAGAGAGAGAAGTGATGGTGTACTTGGCATAATAGTCTTTTAAAGCCTCACCCCCACATTGCTTGATATTCATTGCCTGTCGCTTTTGGTCGTAAAAATCGCACCAAAATAGAGTAGAAAGTTCGGTGAAGTTGTTAATGATACCATGCCAAGCTGGGAGTATCATAGACGAGCGTCTCCTCCAAGAGTGGTGGGAAATATTCTACTTATGGTGGCATCAGATGCACCAATAAGCGACGTCAAAATCTCGAAGCAACTGAGATGGTCTTCTAGAGCGGTAGTGCCATTATACTCCGGAAGGTTGGGTATATGGATGTTTCCCGGGTATGGCTCATTCAGAATGGCCAAAGCTAGGGGCGAATCGTACTTGGTTGAGAAAACGTCCCTGCAGGAGGAAGTTCTTCGAGGTGAGGAACAACTGGGGGACATCCTGGGCCGCTGCTTCAATTGAAGCCAGTACGCCATTTAGATGGTCATTGAAGAACGCGGGGAGTCCTGCATTCTCGTAGGAATTTGTTAGAATAATTGGTGGTTTTTGGGAAGCCTCTACTGCAGACCGAAGTTGAGCACGAAGTCGCTCGAATTCGGCTTGGAGGTCCTCGATCCTTTGGGGAGGCAGAGTTTACCTGAGGTTTGGAGTTGAGCCTTGACGGATCTCGACTTGAGGTTGCGAATCCTGTGTGTCCATCTTGTCCGAATGGAATGGCAATTTATTGGTATTAATCTCATTGGGCCCCGCTGTGGGCACCAATTGTTGATGCCAAGGTAAAATAGTAGGCCTCGAACGTTGTAGAGTCAGAAGAGCATTGACTTTTTGATCGCTGTTGGATTCTAGCTCTCGAGATGAACACCTGCAAAAAAGGACTCGCTGGTTGTGGTCGGCTGTGATTTTCTCCATAGCTCAAGTCAATACTTAGAAATAACCAGGAGTGGCATATTTAGCCAACTCTAGAGAGAAAGAGAGAGAAATTTTGGGGTTGGAAGTTGCCAATTCGCCTAGTAAAAGTTCGTCGGGAATTCCCCTTTTTCGTTCTCGTTCAGAGAAAGTGAGTTCTCTGGATTTAAGATGGATTGTCGAGAAAATAGAAATGAGTGACTTATTTATAGACGCCTCTTGCTCCTGGGTGCAAACATACACCCGCATCATCTTCATATTTACCTTTTGTGTATAGAGACATCTTCCTTTGACGCCGTGTGGTATGACTTTGATGGAAGGAGTTTATGCAATTTGAGATCGGTTGTGTGAGCAATGGATTTTTTCATCCTACTATTAGCTATGTGTAGTAAAATAAATAAAGTGGAATGGATTGGTGGAGATCACTTTGTTAATTATCACCTCATGCATGCACGTGTAGTTGGCATTGCATGTATGCATGGGACGACAAGTATGTAGTGGATTTAGTTGGTGGAGATTTGGGTTAATGAAAAGATTAATGGGTGGAGAGTACATTTATCCACTTGTAATTTGGGGAGCTGGGAGGTTATTGTCAATATGTGTCATTTGGGGGTAAGTTCTTCAACCATCAAGTAAAGCACAGTTAGCTAGCTAGTACCCGTTAATGGATGGCATGAGCTGGAGAATGATAGGTTATCACTCCTGCATGAGATAAAGAATGAGGTGGGATTATTTGCCACCTTGCTCACTTTGTCACACGTGGATTATAGGAAGATAATGAGTTAGTTGGGTGGAGGGGAGGATAATAAGTAGGCTAGCCTAGGCATGGTGAGTCATTTGTTAATGGAGGAGGAAGAGTCCCTCCACGAGGGATTAAGTGGCAGCAACCCACCTTTTTCCATCTCTTGTCCAGGTGGGAATGGTTGGATGGGTGGTGATTAGTTGTTAGAATAGGATGGGTGGGTGGTTAATTTTATAGGGGTTTATAAATATTGATCTAGTATGATGATATAATAAAGGAGGCAATGATCTTAGTGAGATCACCCGCCTGAAGCCATCTCTTCATTCAAAATTAAGCAAGAAGGATCTTGGAACCCTGAGCTTCTTCTTGGGATTGGGACAACCAGAAATGATAAAGTCATTCACTTCTCTCAAGTAAAATATACATAGGAGATCATTCAAGAAGCATACCTCTCAAACTCAATGATTATTACCACCTCTATGGATTACAAACTACAAGTCGAGCAATGAATTTGTTACACCAAATGGATCCTGAACACTATAAACTCTCCTTGGCAAGCTTACCTACCTCGCCATTATTAGTGCAGAACTAACTTCTTATCATTCAAAAAATGAGTCAATACATGGAAAACCCTAGCATCACCCATTAAAAAGATGTTGAAAGAATTCGTAAATACTTTAAGTCAGCTCCGTCAGCTGGTTTCTTCTTTCTCATTGGTGGTTCCTCCAACTCGGAGCACATATTTACTCTAACTAGGAACGTGTGTGGAAACAAGGTGTTTCGCAACAGGTATTGTGTTTACATTGAAACTCCTTATTCTCCATCAAAAGCAAGAAATGTAAGACTGTCTCTCGATCCTCTTGTAAATTGTTGAGTATCAAGCTCTTGCTTATACAACCTGTGAGGTGCAATGATTATTATACCTTCTTCGTGACTTCTAGGTTCCTCACTCCAACCTGCTGCACTCTTCTATGACAACCAAAGTACAATTTACATTTTTGAAAAATGCCATCTTGAATGAGAGAACCAAAGTACATTGTACTAGATTGTCACACGGTCTGTGAGAAACCACAAACCCACATCATCAAACTCCGTCATGTTTAATCCAACTCCCAACTCGTCGATCTCTTCACGAAGCCTCTTCCACCTAGACCCTTTTGTTACTTGTTTTCCGAAGGTTGGAGTGCACAATCTGTACCCACTAGCATGTAGGGGTTTCGGTAATATGAATGAAAATGATAACTTTTCATCACCGCCGAATACCATACATTAGCCAACGGAAGGATAAAAATGTCAAGAACCAGTTGATCCCAATAGCTCGAGTTGTTGGGAGAAGCTCAAAAATGGATCTTATACCACTCAATAACACACCCCTTCAAATGAAAGCCAGTCAACTCATAAGGGATTTCGTTTTTCGTTTGCACAGGTATGAATACAATAATATAATGTGCTTCACAAATGGGGTCACATGCTCTGATACCATGTCAAGAACTAGTTGATCCTAATAACTCATAGTTGTTGGGAGAGACTCAATAATGTATCTTATATGATTATGGATCTTATTAATTACAATCTACAACTGTGAACTTCTAGACTGATAAACAACGACGTCATTTATGGCCCCTTTATTTTTCGGTTGTTAACTTGCTTATATTTCAAGTATAAGGACACTGGAGTGGACACCAATGCTTTTGTACTTGCTGTTGGACCAAACGCAGGTTGTTATTGTTGTCTTCTAATCACAACCCCTGAATATAAAAGTCGAGAGATAAATGAGAAAGGCTTTCAGCCTTAAGAGTTTCATCTTTGAACAAACTTTCATTATTCTGTCAAACGTAAATGGCAACTTCTCAAGTATAGGCTACTCGGATAAATAAATAAAAAAAGAAGAGGTCACAGTAAGAAATCGACATGCATCGGTGCTTTCTTCTCCCAGCCAGGAAACAGAGCATAGAATTACCACTGGGAAACCAGCAACCAATTCATAAATTGAAAGCGAAGGAGGAATCGATCGACGGAAGAAGAATAGCTACGTGCAGTGCTTTCCCGCCCGCCCTCCGAGTACTAAGCGTGAAATGGCAAAGTCTGAGAGAAAGAGAGTGAGAGATCGAAATGACACTATCATGAAAACTTCCCCTCTTCTCCTCTGAGCTCTGCCGTAGAATCTGTACTCTGTCTCTGCTGGAAGAAAGGAAAACAACAAAATGGGGAAATGGATCCTCTTCCATCGAGCTAACCATTGCAGTAAGCTTTTCAAATGCTTAATTACACGTAGGGCCTCCTTTCCTGCAGACAAGAAGTACTGGCCCGGTCTGACCGATCAGGAAGGTCTCGGCCCATTTTGTTGAGGGGTATAATCAATGGTCAGGTTTGAAACATTTGGTTGAAATGCTTAAAAAACGAAACACCTAATAACAGAAGTGGCAGGCTCTCCTTCACAGGGAACTTTTATGATAAGGTTCGATTTACATCAATGTCAATATTGGAGTAGTGAGTCGTCACATCTTTAACCAAAACTGTCATTATGGAAATGTTGCAAGATGGTTGCTATTTGGCGTGCAATTTGGGGAATCTTATTCAGGACAGGAGTGATTCTACTGTGTGCTAAGGCACTATTAGCGAGTATACTGTATGCTAAGTCACTATTAGTGAGTCTACTATATAATAAGTCCTAGGCGCACCCCTCAAAATTTTGACAAAAACACAATACCTTTCACCATTAAGTAGTAATATGCTAGATTTAAATACTAAACTTCCAAGTCAATAAAACAAAAGTTATCGATGAAATTGTTACTGATTTATCTTTTACGAAATTATATTTGATTATTATCTAAATATAAAATATCAAACCGGCCAATCGCATAACACCCAGCTAATATCTAATGAAATTTGAAGGTAGTATTGATTTTACCGGTTGCAACTGCAAATGTAGAAAGAATATTTTCATTCCATTTATAGTTATGCTAAAAACTAATTCATATTTAATCAAATAGCAATCAATTTGCGAGTGAGTACCTAGTGCGATACAGTGAAAGAGACTTGGTCTAGATTGTAGATAATAAAAGAGACGCTACTTAAAGCAGTCTTCCAAGCCTTACCTACATTCATCATGTGCTTTTTCCTACTGCCAGACTGGACTACAAAGAAGATGATTCACTCCTCATAAGGTTCTTTTGGTCTGGATCCCTATAGAAAAAGTTGATCCATTGGGCGAATGGCACCTCCCTCTGCAATCCAAAAAGTGAGGGGGGGGGGGGGGGTAGTGGATTTTGGACATTGAAGGAGTTTAACCTGGCATTACTTGCGAAACAAGCATGGAGACTCCTCACGTCCCCCACCTCCCTCTGGGATTGACTTCTGAAAGGACTCTACTTTCCAAGAATGGACTTCATGAATGCAAGGAAGGGGTCACAACCATCGTGGATTTGGTCCAACATATGAGAGGCTACGAAGCGAATGAAGAATGGAATTGTGAGAGTTATTGGAAACGGGCAGGATACAAGGGTGTTTAATAATCCATTGATCCCCGATCTCGAGGGTGATTGTTTACAAGGAATCCCGGCCACCCAAGTGAAGGTGGCAGAATTGATCGATCCCATTTTCAAAGAGTGGAAGGGGTGAGCATAGGCAGATCATATCCAACTTGATCAAGAGAGATAATGGTTAGGAACATCTTGATTGGCTTACATGATGCAAATGAATTTTGGGCATGGAAACCCAAGCCCACGGGTAAGTTTATAGTGAGCTCTGCCTACCATTTCTTCTCGGAAGTTAAGAGAGCTTAAACTAAAA